CTGCACTGGAGGCGTCCGGCCCCCATCACGGGGCACCGGACTGGAGGCGTCCGACCCCATCACGGGGCACTGCACTGGAGGCGTCCGGCCCCATCACGGGGCACTGCACTGGAGGCGTCCGACCCCATCACGGGGCACCGGACTGGAGGCGTCCGGCCCCCATCACGGGGCAATGCACTGGAGGCGTCCGACCCCATCACGGGGCACTGCACTGGAGGCGTCACCGACCCGACCACTGGGGATGCAGTGCACTTCCTGCTGGCTAAAGGGCAGCGCCGAGCACCGTCCTCAGGACGTCACGCATGGCGAACCGGCTGGGAGGCAGCAACGCACACTACCCAAAACGTCTCGCGTGGGAAGATCACGTCACCATGCCAGCCTTACTCTCTCCCACCGCATCAAGCATGTAACCTGCACATACATTCCAGATGGAGGGGAAGGGTGCTTAAACACTGTATTTCATCAGCAAACTGTTGGCCTTAACCACTGCGGCAGCCATCCACTGGCGATTAACACAGAGGATATCATAACATAAACAATGTGAGTCATAGACAAATATCCTTACTCGTTCATGCTTAGTCACAGTCTGGGTGCAAAAACAGTCATCAAAGTGGAATACATCTCACTCGGCGGTAGACAGGGAACATAAGCAACAAGCTCATGTTACATGCATTATGACCTCAGAGCCCCCATGCATCCTACCGTGTTGCATGCATTATGACCCAGGAACCCCATGCATCCCTCCTATACAATTTTCCTATAGGACGTCCCTTAACGAAGCTGCCGACCACCGCCCGGGGAGGGGGCCCACAACACACCCATCTGCAGTCGTAGCGCCGACCTGCAAGGCGCCTTACTTTGCCGTCCTTAGTGAGACAGAGCGTATGCATGCCGCCGGCGTAGACGTCGATGACGTCAGCGGTCAGTGGCTCCACCAGCTTGACCCGCTTGCAGTCCATGGTGTCGGGCCCGAGGCCGAGCTGGCCCGTGTCGCCTTCGCCCACAGTCAGCACGGCGCCGGGCTCGGTGTTGCGCGGCCCGATGGTGAGCAGCGCCGCCTCCGACGCTGGCCAGGACAATCAGGCGGCTTCACGCCACGCCACACTCGGCCAGACACAGACACTGGCCAGGACAATCAGGCGGCTTCACGCCACGCCACACTCGGCCAGACACAGACACTGGCCAGGACAATCAGGCGGCTTCATACCACGCCACACTCGGCCAGACACAGACACTGGCCAGGACAATCAGGCGGCTTCACGCCACGCCACACTCGGCCAGACACCGACGCTGGCCAGGACAATCAGGCGGCTTCACGCCACGCCACACTCGGCCAGACACAGACACTGGCTCACTGCTGAGATGGCAAATAAGCAAGATGAACATGACATATTAACACCTTACAAAATCAGGCAGAGATACAAAACGTCACTGAAGCTCTAATCACCAGTTGTATTCCCCAATGGTGATTCTACTGATACTCTAACATATCAAGGTACAACTTCACTAACCTTTTGCCTTTTTTGCTGCAGGAGGGCCACTGGTCACAGACTCCTTTGAGGCCGTTTTTGATGCTGCAACATTTTTCTGAGGATCCAGGAGTGAGAACATGAGAAAAAGTGCTACAGCACCCATAACAATTATGCATCAATACAATATCCAGGAATCCTTGATAAGCCTTGCAATTAGTTTGTCAAAGACTAGATACAGTCAAATGCACTAAGAGATTAGCCCACTTACCCTTTTAGTTTTTCCCAGTGCCATCTTCTTTTTGACTAGTGCTACTGCAGAGATCAGCAACCAAATCACTGGCCAGGACAGACTCAGCTCAGCTGAAAGTGAAACCCAAGATTACTATGCTTTGTGATGTTGTTGACCAATATTGGCATATGTGGGAACATACCTTTCTGTTCATCTTATGTAACACATGTCATGCACACAAGAATATATCAAATTATAATTCAACCCCATAAATTGACATGCAAGTTATGAGACAGTATTTTTTTAAATAAATTTATTCTGAATCATTTGAAGGGGTGATTTCGGATTCAGAGTACCTGCTAAGCAAAGCTTGTTGCGTGTACCCCGAACCCGTCACCCAAGCGTGCCGTCCAGTTTAACAGCTAATTTTGCCTCCGCCCTTTTGCCAGACAGGAACGGGGAGGGTTTTACGTGCTGCACAATGCTGCGACACGGCCGCCTGAGGTCTGGATTGAACCTCGTTGGCCAGTTGCCAGCTGACCTCGCCATTTCAGTCGGATCAAACAATGTGCCTGCTCTGGGACTCGTACCCAGTGCTGCTGGATTACGGGTCCAGCATCTGTCCCCAAGACCACGGAGGCAGCAAATCATATTCATTCATGATGTGACTTGATTCTGTGGTAGGTGGCATTATGTGTCATGGATGGACTGCTAGTAACAGGCTCTGTCCTTCTGCAGTCTGTTCATCTATCTTGTGCTCTGGAACTGTGCTGAGCCCATAGAAATTTAGAACCATAAATTAAAGTAACTTGTTTTATTATCTTTCAAAAATGCTTAGCTTTTAACACATGACAGAATATTACCACAGACTGAGGCTACTTGACCAGCCATATTGCACCACGTCCAAATTGATGGATTATGAAAATGCTACCCATAAACATGGCTGGTTGTTGAATAAAAAGTGAGGTCAAAAGAGAGCAGGAAATAAAGCATGGAAAGAAGCACAATCATGATTGCTAGTTACCAAAAAGAATACTAGTGGAATCAGCAAACAAAAGCACTAAAATCACTGACTTGATCATTGGTTGGCCACTGCCTGGAGGATGACAGAGTGGTTGTAGCATGATTTTGCACTGTTACATTTGTTGCTAATATGGCATATTATACATCACATCAATGCAAAATACCCATTTCTAACATGGAAAACATGTGCATTTCTTTAAGGGACACCCATGACAGGAGCAGTCATTTAGGGTTGTCCATACATTATGTTGCATATGGATGGGGGGGGGGGGGGGTTGATGGAGCATAACTTAAGCACAGTCAGGTTGAGGTTAAGCAGTGCAGCCCCACACTCAGGCATGGTTGCAAAAAATGTTTATCTTTTAAACATGGATTAAGTGTAATACTCAAAGCTCAATGCCATCCTAACATGAAAAGTGACATATTTTGATTTGCTTCCGATGTCCAGAAAATTAGGGGCCAACAGACATAATCTTTTTGGGATTATTTGTGCTTAGTACAGCATAACCAGGGAGGGGATTGGCCCAGAACAACCAGTACACAGTTAAGAGGGGGGATGGAAATGGCCAAAAATGTGTAAACATAATCTGTAGACGGCCTGACAGGTGCCCAGGTGCCAGAGCACCAACCAGGACTTAAACAATGGCCTCCCACAAGGTAGATGAGCAAACTTCTGTCTGAGACATCTCCCTTTAATTTATTGAAGTTTTTTATTGCATTTGTTTGTTTATTTGTTTGTTTTTATTGCATTTTTTATTGCAATTTTATTGCATTTGTTATAGTTATTGCATGCACACCACCTTCACAGTGCAAGATTTAAAAACATAAAAACCCATAACTGCCACTAGTTCTTATGATCATAGCCAATGCTGCTTTTAGAATGCAGCATTGAAACCACATGGTGGCAGATGCATGTGGGGCTAATCTGAGGCATACAACCAATGTTGCTTCATTGAACATGTTATTAAATTCTGCAAACAAATCATACTGCAATCAGGATAAGCCTTGTATGCAACTACCTCTGTTACCTCCTCCTTCTCAGCAATAAATCAATCCACAGCACTAGATGGCTAAAGGATATTAAACTGTTTAACCTCATGTTCATGTGAGCTGAACTCAGGTCTGGCCAATTTGCAACTGCCCAAAACTTGAGACCTGTGGCTGTGACTGCCTTAAACTTCCTAAATTTTCTGATTATTCTTTTTTGAAATAAGTTTCAATCCATTTGCCTGAAATTACCTCTGCAAAAAATAATCAAACTGCTTACTCTCCTGCATGCTCAAATACATGGTCACCATGTTTAAAATCATGAGCAATCAATTAACTCCATAATATTGCTGTTATGCTAAACATCTTCAGCTTGACATGAGCATTATGTAGTCTGTTGCAACTATGAATAAGACTGATTCCGATTATAAAACATTTTCCAAATACATGCAAAAAGGTAAGCCAGTATGAGGGCTTGAGGCCTGTTTTCCTGAACATTTGGTCTTTTCATTCGGCCTATGCCTCTCTTGACCAATCCAGTAGCCGCACCCAGAAAGTTAAAAACTGACATAACTCTAGGCTTTCAATTCAGTTAACAGCAGTGAGGCAGCCTAGATATTAGTCAGCAACCAAGTACAGGTGGAGGGGAGAGGGGCATGTGCCCATCATTTAAATTGTACAAGCAACATGTGCAAGTCAGAAAAAGACATGGATGCAACTGCAGGCAAACTAGACAATTGAGCCATTCACAGCTTATCTGGGAAAATATATGGAAAACATCTTGACTGAAAGCATGTAGTGCTATCACTTCCATGCAATCTACTGTTTGACTGCAGCATGCTTCAGCATACTTCCCTGGTGCCTAAAATACTTTTCAGTGGCAGTTTGTGCCCACAATCACAGACCCTGCAAAGAGCCTTGTAAGCAGTGATTGTAATACTAAAATACTAGTGGAAAAATGACTAGAATAACAGCTTCCACAATTTTGTCAACTTAATACAAAACTACTTGTACGGTGGTCACTAGTTCCACGGCTCTCATTACACTAGGGCTCACTGTAAGAAAATATCACGGCAGTGCATTACATGGTTGCGTCTCCCACCGGCCTGTCTCCGTCCCGCACAAACAGGGACCTACAATATCCGCAAGAGCACCCCGTATCTCGCATATATAACCCGGCCCTTACCACGCGAACCTTTGAGCTCTCCACGCGTCTCACCGGCTTGGGCCTTTGCTTGGGGATTGGTCTATTTCGACGCGTTTGTTCACATAATAGCGCAGGTGTGAATACAACAATGGAGCGTGGTTTAAAGTAACGGTCGGTAATTTAAGCAGCATTCTTCATCCTGGTATAAATCAGCCTGAATATTTTCGATGGTAAAAGGCCAAAAAACGTTACGTCATATATTTATAACAGCTATAATCTAACCACTGATTTATGATTATTTCAAAGGTCAACTATATCAATGACGTCATATGCTCTTGCCTATTGCTCCGTAATATGGCGTAAAGACTTCTGAATACTTTTTGACGTATAATTTAATGCATGTTGAAGCTGCCAGTGCGCCCTAGGGCCTAACAAGTTTTTGACCTTAGAAGCTTCCATACAATCCACAATCACAACTACCGAAGCAGGAATGCACATCATACACCACATTTACATTTCCGGAACAGCATAAAAACCACGCCTTTAGCCATGTTAGCATTATTATCTTGGGTACATTTGACATTGTCGACTCTTATGGCGGTAAGATCGTATAACATCGCATACTACAAAGGATGCGTTTAAACTAAGAAATCTTGTTCGTTTTTTAACGTTCCTGTTGTTGGGCAGTGTGGCCTCTACGGCCGCCTTAGCTCAGTGGTAGAGCACTGGTCTCGTAAACCAGGGGTCGTGAGTTCGAACCTCACAGGCGGCAACGTTTTCTGAATTCAGTTCGTCGTTTATATGGATCTGTATCATGTAATAGCAGCACCCTCCCAACAAAGACGCCGCGTTGTAGCATGTCCGCTCAGTCGGGCACATTATTCAGCATCATTGATATCACAGGTGAGTGCTTTTGTTTGGACTACGCAAAAGGTTGTTTGGTTTGGTGTCACTCTGGCCTGATGTGCGCCGGGCGCTGCTAGCGCCACGGCGCAGCGGCTAGCGCCAAGAGCGAGAGTCAGTGATATATCCGCGTACGCGCCCGACATACCTCCGTGTAATATACACTGAAACCGAACATGGCGCGGTCGGAACATGACGACTTGATCACGCGCCATAGATGCCGGCCATAGTGCGTGCCAGGTGTTTCCGCGCGCTGGACGGGTTCGCGCGCCTGATCGCGCTGCACGGCAGCGAGTCGCCGCACGCCGTCTCCAAAATCAACCCGCTCAACAAGGTGCTCGGCATTGTGACGGTGGTGCTACTGTAGGACCACGAGGTGCGCTAGACCGAGTTCCAGCAGCTGCCCTACCACCGGATCTTCATCACGCTGCTGCTAGAGCTCAACGCACCGAAGACGGTCCTGGAAGCCATTAACTTCCAGGTGCTGACGGCATTCTGCAACGTGCTGCACACCCTACGGAGAAGGCGCCCAGGTTCGTGTACGCCTGGCTCGACATCGTCTCGCACCGGGTGTTCATCGGACGGATGCTGGGGGTCACGCCGAAGCACAAGGGCTGGGGGCCGTACGCGCAGCTGCTGATCGACCTCTTCAACGTCCTGCCGCCGTTCCTGCGCAACGCCTAGCTGGCCAAGTCCATCACCATCCTGCACATAGGCTGCCTGCGCGTGCTGCTGGTGCTGCTGCACGATTTCCCCGAGTTCCTCTGAGACTACCACTACAACTTCTGCGACGTCATCCCGCCGACCTGTATCCAGGTGCGCAACCTGGTGCTGTCGGCCTTCCCGCGGAACATGCCGCCGCCGGACCCGCTCACCAGCAGGCTGCAAGTGGACATGATCCCCAAGATCCGCGAGGCCCCATGATCCAGACCAACTTCGCCTCGCTCATCCAGCTGCCTAGCTTAAAAAAACGAGCTGATCACGTACCTGAAGACGCGCACGCCGGTGACGTTCGTCACGGACCTGCGCTCCACGCTGGTGCTGCTGCAGGCGGCCGCCGAGCCCGGCTGC